CCCCATCTGTGATTTTGTTGTTTGGAGTTTTTAAAGATGAAAAATCAATGTATAAGGAGCTCATTTCTCCATATCAAAAGCAGAATGCACCTTCCAATTATTTTTCTAAATAGAAATCTTTATTGAGATAATTGTAGACTCACATGCAGTTGTAAGAAGTAATACACCAGAGCCTGGCCGGTGTGACTCAGTGGTTGAGCATAGACCCATGCACCAAGAGGTCATAGGTTCGATTCCTGGTCAGGGCACATGCCCAGGTTGTGGGCCAAATCCCCAGTGGGGGGCATGCAGGAGGCAGCCAATGTTCTCTCTCATCGATGTTTCTCTCTCTCTCCCTCTCCCTTCCTCTCATTCTAAAATCAGTAATGAAAAAAAAAAAAAAAAGAAGTAATACACCAGAGCTCATGTACTGTTTACCCAATTTCCCCCAGTGGTAGCATTTTGTAGAACTGTAGTATAATATCACAGCTGGACACTGACCTTGACACGTTCCATTGGACTTACTCAAATGTCTCCCATTAGCCTTGTACGTGTGTGTGTGATTTTATTCTATATAATTTTATCATGTGCAGGTCTGTGTATCTACCACCATAGCCTTTCAATTATTTTTGAAAAGCGTAGAAAATTCTAGAGTTAGAAAGGACTAAAAGTCTCTGTCCGAGCTCCCCACTGAAGGTGATTATTTAGTATTAAGTAACTAGAACTGACATACCCTGTGAACATTAATTTTTCAAATTAATCTCCTTTCCCATATTGTTAATGTGTCTGAGCGGAAGAATCACTTCCTGTTTTTTGTATACCTGTAGCCACACCACAGCCCAGAACTTACCTCAACACTCTGTGCGGAGCTGTCCAGTTCATGTTTAAAAATAGTAATACATGTTGTTAAAGAGAATGAAAAAGTAGGCATGTATTAGGTGTTTTCTCTGCTTGTAAATTGAGACTAATATTCCTCAAAGCTTGCATCCTTATTGTATTTACTTTCAAATAGTATGTTATACTGCATGAAAGTACTTTATAGATGTTTGATCCTTTGAAGGTGGTGTTGCTGCCTTTGATAACAAAGTAATTAAGTGAGCATTTTCAGACAGAGGTAATTTTCAAAGCTTGAAAATACATATTTCCTTTCAACTATTATAATTGTAGGTACTTTACCCTGCCATCTGTTTCTCGCTGTCTCTTTTAAGACAACCCTTATGAAAGACAGCTCTTCTGAACTTCCTTCTGTCAGAGCTAATGTTGGGGGAAAATCTAGCTTTTCTCTAATGGACCATGACAGTGGGTCGTTATGTCATTGGTTTTATTTGGTGTCTGATATGTTCTCTGAAAAGCAAAACGCTAGCAGTGATTCACAAATTCTTTGGAGAATACACACAAACAAGATTTCTGTATTTTTACACAATCAGGGGTACTATTTGGAAGATAAAAATTGTATCTTTTCTTTCTTCTCATGTGGGATTTGAAATTAATGTTTCTGCCTATTTATGAAAAATTTAAAATCTCAGATATTAAGTGTTGGGCTATCTGTACTGGGTACATTGGGGAAAAAAAAAAAAGCCTGGTGAGGTGTTGGCGGAGGCCGTGTTGGGGCAGCCTTGACTTGAGGGGATATAGAGAATTTTAGAAATAGCTCCTAGTCCCAAATGAGGACTCCAAGGAGATGTGGGTATTTAAGGGAGTTAAAATGCACAGTGTCTATAGAAAAGATAGTAAGGTTACCTACCACTGAATTAACTGATTTAATCATTCATTTGTCCATCTAATATTTGTTGAGTACCCACAGTATGTATGCAAGGCATGTACGTAAAAATAATCTATAACATAGTAACTTCTTCCAAAGGATTCACGTGGTTTGATTTATTGGGCATCCCCACCATGAGCCATTTAAACTGTAAAGAGTTTCAGTCTTTAAATTGATTCTGTTAAATTTGTCTGTCGCTCCTCATACCACACCCCTCCCTGCTTATCCCCAGATTTTGAGATTTAGCCTGGCCAGTACATCAAGACGGGGAGTTGATGATCACATTGACCTTCCTGGGAAAGAAATACACCGTCCTGTGCTTCCCTTCCCCTGGAGGCAGAGGGTGCTGACCTCTCTGATCCTCTCCACAAAGTGGAGGCAATGATAATCCTGCCTCATCAGGCTGAGAAAGGATTAAATGAGTTGTGTGCTAGGCTTGGGAGATGAGGACTTTCAGTAAGGCCATTCCTGCCTTCACGGAGGCTACACACACATGGATGAGGGACGCGCATGTTCATACCAGCTGTCCTGCACTAAGGGTGGGCGTGGCGCCGGAGAGGACCAGGAGGGTGGATAGGGGAGCTGCAAAGTTTTGGGTCCTGAGAGAAGGTCAGGTATAGATGAACAAGGGTGCTGATGGCATGATGACAGTCATCACTACAATTTATTGTCCAGATGAGGACACTTAAAAAAAATTATTGTAGTAATATATCCAACAGGGATGCTTTTGTCAGTAAAGGTCGTGCCATTAATAACGATGCAAGGACAAGCGGACGGGAGGGCGAACTGAGAAAAGTAGTCACTTGACATGAGACCCTTGTCGCTTTCAGTGCCTGTCTTGGTTTCTGGTCTCTTCTTGTTTGCTTGGTGCTTTTAGAACTTGTTGGCCGCACATGGCCTGGCACAGCGTAGCTGAAGCCCGGTGGGTTACTTGGCCCAGAAAAGCCCTGCTGTGTAAATGCGAGGACAGGAAAGCAAGCAGAGCTAACGGCAGTGATCTTAGACACGGAGGCTGCCTGGCATTATGCTTCAACATATGGTAAATGTTCAACATTATGTTTAAACACATGTTTGTGTACACATACAATTTATATACGTACGTAATTATTATAATTTTTTATGTATGACAATGTCAAGACACAGAGAGACGAGTTTCTGCAGCCGGGCTCCACAGCCTGACAGCAGGAGATAGCTTCCACCTAACCTTTGGACGTTGCTTTAAAAATCTATTCCCTGAGCATGATATTTATTTAATAACTTTGATGGTCAAAATGTAATGTTTGATGATCAAGGGATATGCCCCCTTCAAGATGCTATTGCATTAGTTCTCAAAAGTAAGAGCAGAGTTTTTTTTTCCACTTACTTACGCATTCATTGGTTGCTGCTTCTTCTTCTTTTTTTTTTTTTTGTGGCACACACTTTATTTATTTATTTTTTAATTAATTTACTTATTTTTGTTACAGATGTTTCTCCTTTTTCCCCACTGATTCCCCCCTCTCCCTTCCCCACCCTGTCCCACCTTTGTTGTCCATGTCCATTATTCATACATACATGCATATAAGTTCTGTGGTTTATCTCTCCCCCTACCCGCTCTTCTGGGGATTGTCAATCTGTACCCCACTTCCATGTCTCTGGGACTATACCATTCCTCAGACTGTTATATTCATTATATTCCACAAATAAGTGAGATCATGTGATATTTGTCTTTCTCTGCTTGGCTTGTTTCGCTTAGGATAATACTCTCCAGGTTCCTCCATGTTGTCTCAAAGGAAAAGAGATCTTTCTTTCTTACAGCTGCATAGTACTCCATTGTGTATATGTACCACAGCCTTTTTATCCATTCGTCTACTGATGGACACTTGGGCTGTTTCCAGATCTTAGCTATCGTAAATAGTGCTTCTATGAACATGGGGGTACATATATTCTTTCTGATTGGTGTTTCAGGATTTTTAGGGTACATTCCTAGAAGTGGGATCACTGGGTTTTTAAGTTTGAAGTTTAAAAAGAGACAGGAGAGAAGTGTAGAACATGGTGTTGTGCAATTGATACTAAAATAACCTTTTTTAAATGCTTTTGTAAGTTTCTGGAAGATGATAGCAAAGGTGAGGAATCTGCTTTTGAAGAGATTCTGTTGAGTAAATATCTTGACCCTTAAATTTCTTTGATGACTGGTCTATAATCTCATCAATTATTGTTAAAAATATAACATTTACTTATGATCTGTTTTGTACATTTATCACTTGCTGCCTTTGACCAGCATGAAATTAATCTTGATGATACTTTCATATTATATTAAATTATTATTATTTTATATTAGTAGAGAATGTTACATGCCACACTGAAAAAGAACATTTAAGAGCCTTGTTTCTTGAACATTTACTACAAAAGAACTCTTAAAGTTGAAAAATACTTTTTTCTTTTTAAAAAAGTGTTGGAGGGAAAGTTGACTGCACAACTTGTGGTAGTGGGGGCTGTGTTCGTGCTCTCTCCTGACAAAGAAAAAAAAGTTTAGACCCATGTCATTGTACCTTTGGGTCCTGTACCCTCTGCCTGCCCCCTTCCGTGCCTCACTCCCATGTCACACGTGGCCGGAACTGAAGTGAGGTCTTCCCATTCCTGACAGTCATTTACATAGGAGCAAAACAGTGTAGCTGATGCTCACCATCATTTCAAACTTTTTAACTTGTCTGGGACATCCTGCTGTTCTGCACCCTTCATTAAGAAGCAAATACCACAAAGCAGAAAAATTTAAGAACCCATGAAGAACTGGGGTGCATATAGAACACTTTGATTGTAGAAACAAAAACAGTCAGATTTATGACCGGGATGATCGAAAGCACACTCTCTGCATGTGTGGTTAGGTGCTTGCAAACATTTCTCACTGTGGCAGTATAACATGACTGTTGCTGCTTGGCTGTCAGTAAGGCATTCCCAAATCACGGTTTGTTTGTTTGCTCACTTATACACTTATGTTTGTTGTTTGATAGTCTTTCTATCCATTCAGTCTCATTAGAACTTGAGGATCAAGAGGTTTAAATGTTTAAAAAGGATTTCTTTTCTTTTTTATAGTTACTGCTGGGGGAATAAGAAGAGGGAAATTGTTATGTATGTTTTATAGTTACCAACATTAGTATTGGCATACTCCACCTATAAAATGCCATTTTTGGAACAAATTGAGTAATGGGTAACTGGTGACATTAAGAACAGTTATAGAAAGAAATAACATGACTTTTTTTTTTTTTTTTTTTTTTTTTTTAAGGTTTATAGCCAAACCGTGTGCCATAGCCCTCAACATCCAGGCCAATGGACCGCAGATCGCCCAGCCAAACGCCATCCTGGAGAAGGTCTTCACTGCGATCACGAAGGTATGTCCCCCTTTCTGGGATGTGCGTGGGCCTGGCCGCAGGTCTCGGTCTGAAGTCCGTCAGTCCCTGCTCTCCTGGGTCTGGGAGCAAAGTGTGGCCGGTCCTCGAGCCGGAGCGTGTGCTCCCGGAAAGCACACAGCCATTGCAACTGGACAGAAGGGTAGACGCCGAATAAACGTGGGCACGTGTGAGACCCGTGTGCTTGCTCCCCAGGGGGTGGCAGAAGCTTGTCTGAAGCACAGTGTAAATGAGACAGTGGTGAGGCCAACTCCGGGCCTCGTTGCAACCCACGTGACTTGAAACAGGACGAGTCACAGTTGGATGGGACTTTGTGGAGGCGACTGAGGAGAGCGGAGGAATCTTTGTCGAGGTGAAAAACTGTGTCACTTGTGTACACCCCCTCCGTGGGTTCCAGCAGGGGTGGTACGTAGTAACAGTGAGAAGAGGTGCCCAAGGGAGCGAGCTGGGGGTCAGGGGAGTTAGCGTTAGAGGTTCACTGTGGGGAAAATGGGAGGAGAGGCGATCACTGTGGGGAGAGTTCAAGTCCAAACTAGGAGTGGGAAGAGGAGAGCGGGAGGGAAGAGATGGGGAAAGACTGCCCTCCCTCCCCCAGCTGCTGTCTCCTGAGAACAAAGAGGGGCGGAGAAAGAAATCAGGAACCCTTGATCTAAAGCCATGAGAAACCAGAGCAGATCACAGCATCCAAGTATGTGTTCTTACTCACGCATCTCTTATCTTACTGCTGCAGAGCCGAAGCGAGGAAAACACAGGAGTGTGTCATTCTGTGAGGAGTGTGTGTTTGTACAGTAAATGGCTCATTTTCCTGGGAGAATTACTCAGGCTTTTCAGATGGGATCTGGCAGGAAAAAGGAATGAAAAATAGAAACAATTTAATAGTTAGACATTTAAATGTACCTTGGGTATGACAGATCAAGTGAATAAAATATAAAACAGAATATAGACATTCTAATAAAACAATTAATGAGGAGGATCTAAGGGGTACATTTTGAACCCTGTACTCGGAATATATATACTGTTTTTAAGTACCTGTTAAATATTTACCAAATTTTACCTCCTTTCACATACAAAACTATAATAAATTTTAAAATAGGCACAATTCAATAATACTAGAAATCAGAATGCAGAAAGCTTCTTGCTTTCTCGGTCAACTCTTAAATGATAATAGAATTTCAGAATCCTTAGAGAATAGTGAGATGAAATCACTACGCATGTATGTGTACTACACCAAAGCAGTGCGCCCATGACAACGCATGTGCATGTAAAATATAGTAACCACTTACTTAGCCATAGAAAAATAAAACAAAATAAATGAGGGTAAGCAAAATAAAGAAATAAATAAAGATAAATATAGAAATTGAGTTAGCAAAACTGTAGATTGGAAAATTCATCCGAAAGTAACTTATCCGTTTAATTTTTTACAGAAAGTCAGATAACGCAAATAAGGAAAAAAAAAAAAAGAATAAATTTACAACATAATAATCAACAATCACAGACATGGAGGAAAAGAAAAAGAAATATATTTCTATTAACATGGCAAATAAAAAATAAAACCTTGGATAAAATGGAAATTATTCTAGGAAAATATAATTTACTACCTAGAATTCACATCATATGTATGTGTGTGTGTGTGTAAACTAAAGAGCTAAACTGCAAAGAAGTACCAGGCTTAGATGCTCTCAGAAGAAAATTATAGCACCCTCTAAGAGAGCAGAAAATTCCAATGCTATTTTAACCTATCCCAAAGCACAGAAAATTAAGGAAACCACCCACATGCTTTTTATGTAGCAATAGAACATTAATATCAAAGTCTGACAGAGATTTCATGAAAAACTAAGACTAGAGACCATTGTACATATTAATATTGATAAAAAATCCAAAATAAAAATTAGCAGACATAACTGCACATTAAAAAAAATTATTCGTCATCATCAAACACATTTATTCTAGAATGCAAGGCCTTCCTTCCCTGAACTCAGTATTAAAAACCTATATAGATAATTTATCACATTAATTGATCTAAGGAGAAAAAGTACATGATCATCTCCATGGATCCTGAAACCTAACCTCATTTTGATGAAAATAAAGTTATCTAACTAGGGCAGCGTGGTTTCCTTTAGATGATAAATACTTCGTATATCAGGCCCAGATCTGGCCTCTTGCTTAATGAGAAGCAAAGGGGCGTTCCCACTAAAGTCTGGAACAGATAGGGATGTTTATAACCACTGTTTTAGACTGTGCTGTTTTGTATTTAATTAGCAAATAGATAAGAGAAAGAAAATCACGGCATAAACTTATGAAGGAGCTGATAAAGCTAAGGCTCTGAGAAGATTTCTTCATTCATTCAAGGAGTATTGAGGTCTATTATATTCTAGGTACTGGTGAAAACAGGCACTGAAAACTTCCTTTGTTTCTAGAGGTACCGTTCTAGTAATATGCTATTATATGACCATATACAAGGAAAATTAACCTCAAACAATATGAAACGTTAGCAAAAATTAGTAACCATATATACATGCAGACAGTAAGCAGTTAGAAGATATAAGAAAATTCCTTATTTACAATAGAAACCAAAAATGATAACATCCCTAGGAATAAATGTAACAAGGACGTGCAAGGTATGAGGTTTCCAACACCGTTGAAGGACATAGAAGACACATTGAGTCAAGATGTCAATTCACTCTATGCTAACTTAGGAACTTGGTATAATCTCACTAAAGCTACCAACAGGTTTTCTAGTTTGACCATTTGTTTATGTTTTGAAACTAGACAAGCTACTTCTATAGTTCATATAGAAAAATAAATAAGGATTTCTGAGTAACCTAACTGCATATTCATGCACAAACATAATCAAACAATGGAAGAAGAGATTCGGTTTCTCATGGGAAAAAAGATGAACAATGGTATTGGGCTATCTGGGTAGCCATTTGGAAAGAAATTTAGATTCATACCTCCCACTGTATACCAAATGCACTGCAGAGTAAATGTAAAACTCAAAACTATGACTATATTAGAATCAAAACTGTAAATGTGGGAGAATTCCTTGGACATTTGAATAGAAAGGTCTTTTCTGCTTATGACCCAGATTCAGAAGCTATAACAGAAACAATTGATAAATTCAAATATGTTTTTTAAAAAAACATCTACAAGTAAAAAACACAGGCAAAAAAACCACCATCAGCTTATAATAAAGTACAAATGACGCTTTGGCACAGGTATGCAGCCTGTGGTACACACAATGGTTTAATGGAAGAAATGAAAAAATAATTGAAGAAATGCTACAAATCAATAAAGAAAATACCTGCAAATCAAGGGGAAAAAAAGGACAATAGATATGAAAAGAATGTTCTTAAAAATGAAATACAGATGGTTTTTAAAACGCATGAAAAGATGCTTCTCTCATAAAAAGAGGAAATCAAATTAAAAATATACTGAGATACTACTTTCTAGATATCAAAAATTATATAAATTTAAATTGGGAAGCCCTGGCTGGTTTGGCTCAGCGGTTAGAGTGTCAGTCCACAGACTAGAGAGTCCTGGGTTCGGTTCCTGCTAAGGGCATGTACCTTGGTTGCAGTTTGTCCTCAGCCCCATTGTGCGGGGTTGTGTGGGTGGCATCCAGTTGATGTTTCTCTCTCTCTCTATTCCTCCCTCTCTCCCTCCCTCTCTATCTGAAGATAAATGCAAAAATGTCCTTGGGTGAGAGTAAAAAAAATTTAAATTGGGGAAACAATTAAAATCTGATAATATATTCTGTTGATGAGGCTTTGGGAAATGAGCACTCTTGCTTGTATGAGAGTATTAGTTGGAGAAAGTATTAATGAGGGTGATTTTTCAACATCTAAATACATTGCAAATTCATAGACCCTTTGATCTTCAACATTCACTTTCAGGAATTTATACCCGTATATAAAACGCCTGTATAAAACGACCCGTGACAAGATTATTTATGTAGCATTGTTTATAGTAGCAGAAGTTTGGAAGCTAAGTACATGGCCATTCGTAGGTGAGTGGATAAGTAAATTACAGCCTATCCTTACAGTTCTACAAAAGAAGGAAGGGGTTCTTTATATTTTGATAATGGAGCTATTCCAAGACACATTGTAAAGTGAAAAACCCTAAGTCCAGAATGATGTATGTAGTTTGCAACCATCTATGTGACAAGAGAGGATATAAGAATATATATTCAGATTTGCTTATATTTGTATAAAATAACTCTGGAAAGAATCTGATTTAATAACTGGTTACCTGGCAAGAAGAAGAGAGTAGGTACAAAGTAGGAAAATGAGACTTTGGATAATCTGAAATTTGTGAACCATGTGAATGTTTTACCTAGTCAAGAAACGTAGAAAACAAGGTGAAAAGAAAAATGAATTCTTCTAGGAAAATGGTGTATCCGAGGTATATGTTAGGCTGTACATTTTATCTCTCCCCTGTTTTTTAATTAAGAGAGACATGAAAGGAGAGTGCAGATGGTATCATGACGCCTAATCGAAAAGTACACGCCTTACCGAATGTTGGCACATAACTTTTACAAACACGAGCGCGGCGCATTTTATAAGCTCAGTCACAACGCCAAGGCCCTGGGCTGTTTCCTGTGTGTCCGACACCTTGAATTGATTGAGATGCCTTAAAGGGTGTCATGGGAAACCTTTTAACTCAGGATCTTATAACTAGAAAGCTGAAAGTCAGCCTGACTTCCCGTTTTTGGGTGTTTCCTGTGATCATTAACATCTCCTTAATACGAAAGCAAAGGTAGAGAATGGAACTAACTTGGTGCAGCTGTGTTGTGCGGCAGGTCGCCCTCCCATCATTTGTGAAGGGTGCTCTCTAAGCTATTGGGGAGAGGGCAAGGACAGGAAAGGGGAGAACTGACATGTGCTGAGTTTTACATACATTTTTTACATTTGGTCCTCACCACCATCTATCTCACTTAGGTGGATAAATAACCCCCTTTTTAAAATTTTATTTATTTATCCTCACCCGAGGATAGTTTTCCATATTTTGTTCAGATAGAGTGGGAGGGAGAGAGAGAGAGAGAAACATTGATGTGAAAGGGACACATCGAGTGGCTGCCACCCGCACGGCCAACCTGGGCCAGAGACCAACCATAACTGACGTACGTGCCCTTAGCGGGAACCGAACCCGGGTCTCTCTGGACCGCAGGCCGACGCTCTAACTGCTGAGCCAAACCGGCCAGGGCTAACCCCCGTTTTTTTAAACAGGCGAGGACACCGAGGCCCAGAGAGGTCGGTCCTTGGGGCGAGGCATTGAGCCTGTGTCTGTGGTCTCCTAATGTTGCAGAAATGTGTGAGGGACAACAGCGACCATCACATGGCTGGCATCAATAGCGTCTCTGTCCTCTTCACCACACTTGTGTCTGCAAAGTGGTGCGCAGTCCTTGTGAAAGGTTCAGTGGGGATCTGGTCAGAAGGAAAGACCAGGAAAAGGAATAGAAAAGGAATGTGTGAAGGACAGAGGAGAGGGGAAAGAGAAGAAGAGAAAACATGCTTTGTAGTGGAATTGGTACTTCAGGCTAAGGTGAGGTATTTGGGGATTATTCCAAGCTTTTTGTTATCCTGATCTATGATAATTGGGTATAGCTTTTTTTTTTTTTCCCCTGAGAAAGTAAAATATTACAAGGAAGCCTCTTTGCAAATTCACGTAAGGTGGCCTTTGCCTCTCTGTTGCAGCAAACTTGGTTGATGAACTTTGTATGGAATCTCCTTTCCTGGAAGGCGAATAGAGCTGACTCAGCCAGGTGGCTGTCCCATTGAATCTGTGTTGATGGGAAGCACAAGCATCAGAGCGAGGTTCAGATTTTTCACTGTTGTTTCACAATGAATAACTTTCCTTGTCCTAAGTGGTTCTTTATGTTCACGCTGCTAATGGAAGGCCTACATCCTCAGTGGCAAATGTGGAAATCTCAGCAGCAGATAGTGTATGAAGAAAAAAGATCTGAGCGGTAGACAGGGGCAGATCTGTTTATGGTGAAGATGAAAATGATTTTCCTGGCACCTTGTTCCACAGCATCCTGATGAGAAGAGGTTGGAAGGCCTCTCCAAGCAGCTGGACTGGGATGTGCGCAGCATTCAGCGCTGGTTTCGACAAAGACGCAACCAGGAGAAGCCAAGCACACTGACGCGGTTCTGTGAGAGCATGTAAGTTACTGTTTTTCTTTTTGAAAGAAAAATCTGTACAGTGACTCACACCATCCCAGAGGTGAAAAATAAAGGCTTGGTAAAGGCAGCCCCTAAAAAGCATGCCATCTGGAGGAAACATAGTCCACAAAAAACTGGGGTTGGTACGAATTTGTGGTTTCCTCTTTGGATGCAGTAAATGAAGTTGGCTTCTGCATGGAGTTCCTACAAAGTAGGCATATTGCAGAGCCTACAGTGGGGTTTACAATCAGCCACCTTCGAAATATAGCCCTAAAGATTATTATGTTCATAGTTTGAATTTTAATAGAATGGACTTTGTCGTGATGTTCTTTCCGCTGATAAAAGCTGAGATTCTAGGATATATTATCCGAGGGTCATGGTGATGGCCTGTATTTCTGCAGATTTAAGAAATGGTTGTATTTTATTCCTGGGTGAGTTTAATGAAGCATTGATCGAAGGTGGGGGATGGGATGAAAGTCTCTTCCATTTCTGAAACGTGAACTACATGGTAGGTAAATTATATACTAATGAAGCTGATAAAAGGAATAGAAGACCCACAGAGAACTCTTCCAGCACAGTGATATTTTGTAGCAGTGACACTCCATACACTTCCCTACAGGAAAGATAGAGAAAGGAATATTGAAGCTTTGAGTATGTCCCCCTAAAGGGAAGATTCTGCCTCATGCCTCTAGTTGGTGTCCATCCCCTGGGAACTTTTTCCTGACACCCGGTCATGTAACAGAAGTGCTGTCGGTGTGGCTCCTTCTGTTGTGGGCTCTTTCTGTTTGGGGTTAAAGTTACCTTTTCAGGTCTAGCTTTCCATTATGCCCCAAAAGTATTTTCGCAATTGTCATCTAAAGCTTGGAGGGAAACCTAATCTTATAGGAGCATGAGTGAGAGGCGAAACAATATCATAAATCCTAGGGCTGGAAAACTATGGGGTGCACCAGGGTCTTTAGGAGGTCAGAACATTTATAAAACATGGAAAAACAGCCTAGTAGATACTATCTGCAAAGCCCTTCCTGTCACCGAAGTTAGTGGCAGTTTATGGAGGGAGGAATCATGCTTCTGGGCCCCTGCTCAGACGCTGGGATTGTTTCCTGGCCTGGTCCTGCCACATGTGCAAAGGGCCTGGGCTCCACCCTTGAGCGGCGGGTCTGCGCAGGGGTGAAGTGGGTCTGAGCACATGCCCACATACTGAAACTCATGTGCCATCTGCTCCAACTCCCACTGACTCCCTTGGTAACTCAGGGCTAGCCCTGACTACACTATGCCGAGTCGACACCAGTATGTGTAGGAGTCCGTCACCTGGATTCTGTTAAAGTGCAGATTCTGATTCAGTCGTCCTGGGATGGCAGTCGGGATTGCGTTTTTAGCAAGTGCCAAGGCTATGCTGCTGGCCCGTGGACCACACTTTGAATGACAAAACCCAACATTGTAGCAGTGTGTATGTCATCTCCTTGAATCCAGCCGGTCTTTATCTGCATACCACATTCACCAAGATCAGTTACAACTAGTTAAAAATATTGCTGAATGATTGTGCATGGCAATGTGAAGGCACAATGTAGGGTAAGGGGGGTGCATAAAAGTATCAATTATGACCTCTTCCCTCAGGTAGATTATTTACCATAGTGTCAGATAAAACATAATATCTGAATATGTGAGAGTCAATGACAGGTATTAAAAAAGAACCAGATATGTGTGCTAAATGACTGACATGCATAGTCAATAACAAAAGATTAAAGGATGAAGCTCAGTGGTGGCTTAGAGCACACACAGGTGTTGCTGGACACCTCTGTTGCAGAAGGCTGTGATGAGGACTTTGGAAACTCTTCTCCTTTGCCTTCTGAGTGGCCACTAGAATGCCCTGCCCTTCTGAGGGCTTACGTCGGCATCACCTGTTCTGTGTTTTCTCTGTGGTCTGCAACGGGCCACTTCTCCAGGTTCAGTCTTCAGCCTCTTCCTGCCTTCATTCTACCTGCCATCCTCGGTGTAGACGTTCTTTCCTCTCACCAGCTTCTTCCAAAGCCATGTGTCCAGTGCACCTCCAACGGGCAACTCCGATTTGCTTCTACTTCTGACTTCTCTTTGCTGCGGGTTGTGTGCCTCCCTTCTGTCACAGGCTGGAGACAGACAGCCCCTGAGGTCCGTTTGTAAAGCCACTGCCGTGGCCCCAGGCCCAGTGGCTCCATAGGTCTCTCTGTTTATCTCATACTCATAGATATTTTGTTTGCTGCCAAAGGAATTACATGTTCCTAAAATACTATGATCTCCACAGTCTGCTGTTTTAAAACCTTAATGCGTTTTCTCCAGCTGTAGGATCAGTACTAGGCTCCTTAGCCTGGTGGAGTCTGACCCCGTTTTTCTAGAGGGCTGGTTCCACTGTCTGTACTTCGTTCATTTCTGCCTTGGTTTACACTGTGTTCCTGACTGGGAACACCTGCTCTCCTCTGCCCCGCCCGTGTATCCCACGTCCATTCCTCAAACTCCAGGCCCTCTCAGGAATGTGGCCTGACCGTTGGGTCCAGAGGGAGTGCTCCGTGTCCTGAATTCTTAGTCCTTATTGTACCTGCTAAGTCGTTTCATACCGAATCATCTGTTTTCTTAGGTGGTTCTTTATCTTTTCTTAGCTTATCTGTATATCTTCACCCTAAATACATCTTGTGTATTCCCCGAGGGCACAGGAACATCGTGTTTTTCTTGCATTCTTCTCAGCATTTACCACAACATATAGACTCTGCTGAATCGTTATTTGTCAAAGCATTGTATGTTCAGATGACATTGTTCTGGAAGGATTTGCTGATCTAAGTTGGCATCCTGCTCCCCAAAATGAAGATTGTCTAACATACTGACTTAGCGTAAAATTCATCTGGGGAAATTACTGAGCTTTGGAGAGCTCCAAGCCAACTTCCAAAGCAGAAGCCAGGGGGAAGGATTGGGATGGCAAAGAAGGACGTGTAGACAGCAGCACGAAGACTGAGGCAGGAGGATCCTGCTCCGTGCATGCACACAGGTATGTCACAGTTCTTTAATCCCAGTTTAAAAACAATCTGGGAAAGCTGTTCGGAACCAGGGGCGCACGTCATAAAACCTGGCAAGCTTTTCAAACTACGTACACATGCCCCAGCCCCGTCCCAGTGTGTTTGATTATGTGTGGGGACTCAGCTGGGGTCTGGACATGCATTATCTTGAACTACCCTGAATACCGATGACACATATCCCTGGTGAAGAAGCACTAATCTCTGAGAAGAGATGACTGCTGTTCAAACTACTAAGAAAAGCAAAGACAACAGAGTTTTGGAACTCATAGATCTAGGGCCCCGATGGGAAGATTCTATAGTTTTTCGGTTATATAAGTTACTATTTTAGAAAAAACAGAATCCCTGCAGGGGAATTGTATTTCAGCCATCAGCGATGTAGAATGCACCAAGATGCATGCCAGACAGTGCTTGTAACCATCTGCCGGTGGGTCCAATTTGGGGCACACCCATTGAACGAAGGAGGACCGAGTAGGAGAAGCTGTTCAGCAAGTAATGTGTTGAAACATTGACATGATTTTTTTTTCCCCCTTCATGCTGATGTCAGTCATGTACAGCTGTGTTCGTTTTGACGGATATTTCTTCCAGAAGCATTTCAGTCTTTCTTGGAAATGGAAAGAGAGATTTTGGCGAGGGAGTCAAGAAGTTATAAAGGAGATGTCATGTGAGACGTGTTAGGAGACGTGGTTCTGAATGGGAGCCACTTAGCTTTGGGCTCATGCGTTGAGGCTGCTGAAACCTGGCCTTCTTAGGATAATGTAAATGGCATCAGGAAAACGTAAAAATAAATATCTGTAATGCAAGTATCTGCAGGATGACACAGGAAGGTGCAGAGATAAATTTTCAGAATAAATGGCTTTCCTCTCATCCATGCCCTACCTGTGCTCAGTAGTTTTGAATATTGCACAGTAGGTTTAAATGCAAAAACCGGGAGTGAATATTATATATGGCTTTCATTTCAGCAGTCTCCAATTGACTGAACAGATAAATCTCCCCCTTGATAACCTGGAAATATAGAAGAAATACAGGAAAAAAAAACAAAAACAAACTTCACAGATTAGTAGTATTTATTTGGATGGAAGTTTGCTCCATATGGAGCTTTGCTGAAGATGATGAGGACCCCAAATTGTCTTTTGTTTAGGAATTCCATTTTAGACTTGATGCTGATTAAAATTACCCCCGACGCTGCGGTGTCTGGATGCTTCTGTTCGGTGGTAGCACAATGACCAAAATCTGGGAACCTTTTGACATTGTGACTTCATTTCTGCAAAGAAGCCCTGTGATCTTCTTAATGTGTGATTCCATTGAACTAAGGATAACTCAGCACACGAAATGAGTGGCTTAATCAGTTGCCCAACTGGTCACCGCTTTTTTTAGGTAGCTGTTTTACTTTGACAAATGAGCAGTGCTGTCTTATGACCTCCGTAAGAAAGTGGAGCCTAATAATTGAGGGCAAAAAGGATCAGGGTTTTACAGGGAACAGCAAGTTGAGTCTCAAATTCCTTATTTCTGATCAGTCTTTGGTCTGAGGAAATTGTATAGTGAATGTATTCAACAAGTTTTTATGGTTCAGCCACCTGCAAAAAAAGCTAATATTTATAAACTGTTTTAGAATCTTCCATCTATTCCAAACTCTGGTGATGGACAATGTTTGCCAAGAGAAAATTCCTTTTTTATGCTTTTCTCCATCAGATCATGATGTGAGCATCCTTACAAAGTCCACCATCCTGGAGATTGATGTGGTTTTAGTACAGGAGAATAAGAAAGTATTATCGTCTAGAAAAATGACATCTTCATTTTTTTCAGTACTGGGATACATGATCAGCATTGTGTCGATGCTGATCATATGTCTGGGGGAAATTAATCATAAAATTAGAGGACAGTAGTACAGAGTTGAGTTGTTTTGTTGCTGTTGTGACGGTGATGATTATTTTTCATTAATACAAGATTGTCCCTAGATTG